CATGCTTTAAAGAGACATTCGCTTTCTTTTGCGTTGCTATTCAACAGTGTATTGATTTTCCGGGTCTCCATCGGTTAATTGCAGACCTTATAACTTAATCATGTAGTCATCCAATATGAAAAGTGGCAGTACTCGCACAGTGGGGATTTGGTGTGACAAAACGCAGTATTGGGATGATAGAATCTGCCTTTAATATCTAGGGCCAAGAACATTTCAGATTCATCTATCTTTATTTTACGTGTCTATAATCCAAACGTTTGGCATCGAAATTAGCAGTTAAGAGTCTCTTACTTACAGTCATGTTTCACACCCAATTCTAATTGATATGTACGAAAACAAATGCCTTTATCATGACAAAACCAACGATAAATTCTTGCAGTTCCAGATTATGACAAAATTGCATAGAAGTTGGACCCAATAGTTTAGAACTAGAAAATTTTGACTAGAGTAACCACATTACTATCTATTGTCCATCCTTTTATTTTGATATTTTCATGTACTTGCAATTAGCCTCCATGCAGGAACTTCCAATACAATTTCGATTTTAAAAACTCGACGAAGACTTAAAACTTCATCAGGACTGCTTCACGCCCAAACCAGATTTCTCACCACCTCCGCGCCTGCCGACGAAATAATCTGGCGATGGGGCAACAGTGCCAGGCCGCCGTAACAAGATTAACCACTCCGCCGGCAAGATGTGCCAACACACACACCTGATAAGGAAGTCGTTAAACAGGACTTTTTAATCCTATTCTAGCTCTTTATCGTCTCCGTCCAGTCGACTGCCTGAACGAGAAATGTCAATCACTGACTTCGATGTATATTTCTTATTCAGAATACATAAAACAAGAAATGGCAGATTTCAGACCTACGGAAAGTGTTGTCGTGAATATATTGGAACTGCGGAAAGGAATGTATGAAGTAATTCAATCGGGTTTTACACGCAGACAATCACTTCCTGAATTCCTCCACGTACCGCCCGCTTACCACCACTCGGCGCGTACTGGATCACCTTCAAGCTTAGCCTCCTTGTCAATCAACTAACCAACTCTCCACCCACTCTCCCTGCAACCGTCTCCACTGGACAAGCATACACACAAGCCTACAGATAAGCACGTCAAAAAAATATTGGCTGCTTATCCGGATAGGTATTAGGACTATATTTATGACCCCAGTAAACTATATAAAGAACATCTGCCATTCATAGAGGTATACCACAGGATTACGCTGTAAACTTTACTGTGTTGGTAGGGAAAATAAGACTCAATTGTAGCTGTTAACATCATTTATTTTCAACCTTTCTTATTACACGGCATCCCGCGGGTTTATATGGAGTTCTGCGACTATATCTTCCCACAAAGTTGCGGCACTGATTAAAATCCCTTTGAAAAATTGCTTCATCTGGAGGCTGAGATGAGAGGATCCCGCCGGCCGCTCGGCCGTCCCCAGGGGCGATAAAAAGCGTTGATCTGCGGGGAAGTGTAGTCACGTGCCCGGGCAGGAGTTTATAAAGGCGGTTTCTGTTGTCAACATGTGTGCATAACGAGTAATAAACCACTGAGGCGTGCGCCGTTAATGTTGTAGTGGTCTGCACTACTACTGGTGTTCAGAACCAAGGACAGGACATACGTCAAACTGACCATTCCACAAGAACTTGGTTATCAATTCTAACCTCTAGAATATAGCTTATCTTTCCTATGCTTACAGATAAAATAAAAACTACTTTTCTTTAAACTATCCCAAACCCACACATCATGGAAAAGGTGGGACGTTATGTCTACCACGGCTTACACAGACGTCAAACCCCGAAGAAATCATTTTAGACATTAAGTCCCTAGAATGTAGATTATTCCCTGTTGTAATCAAAACTAAGAGTAGACCTAGTAAAAACTTGCCAAACTTAGCACAATAGACATATTGAGAACTCCGGGTCTCAGCAAATGTATTAACGGTAAACCAGTTGGCTCTAACGATGAACATGAAAGAAAAACATACCAAGAGAATTTGAGCTAAAGTCTCGTCAACGACATGCGTTATAGCCCTTCTGAAGAGCATTGGTGATAAAAGTAACGCGATAAACGATGATACACGGGAGAATCAAGTATAAATTTGTACCAAGAGCGTCAAACATAAACCTGTGCCATATAAAGCTGGCAAAATCGTACCCGCGTCGAAATCATTGATGTTTCTGGCTCGGAGTTGTTACCAATTTTGTGTCTTTATAATACGCCCTGGCATCTATCGATTTCGTGCCCTGATAAAACGAAAGCAATCCATCTTTCGCGTTCAGAGTAAAGAAGGGGGGCTTTTGGCAAACAAAGACGTCTAACATGAACTGACTGGTTTCTTTGGGGAGGGGTTTGTGTGTGAGAGTGTTTGTGTTGCATCCAGAACCGTGCTTTATCCAGAAACATGTTCAGACACAGACCTAGATAGTCCACGCGTATCCAAAACCATGCCTGAGGCAAATCTGCATTCTTGGAAAGGCTAAGACTATCCAGAACCTTGCCTGCTCCTAACCCTAATCCATTCAAACACTGTTCTGGATACACATACAATAGGGTGGGTGTAACCCACATTTGCAGATTCTATTGTGCACCGGTTCTTCCTCCTCGGAAATTTTCTGCAGACATCACCATTGATGTATACATCACCGGACTCCCGCAGGTGCAGTTAGCTGGAATCAGCAGCTTCCTGCAATATCCACCGGCGGGCTATTGCTATTGTGGAAATAAGGGGCCCTTCTTAAATGGTTCTCGGTGGAGTTCACGTCAACGAAGTGAATGATTCTACATCTACAATTTTGAGGCTTGCAAGTCCCACATTATATTAGGGCCCGGCCACATACGTCCAGGATCCTAGGATCAACAACTTCTTTCCTCGCAAAAACAAACTAGGTCGCATTATTACTGAGAATCACCGAGGCCCTGACTGAACACTTTATAACTACATGTATGACCCTCGGTACAAGAGGTTCCATTGTCCTAATTTTTCCGCTCGCCTGACCGACGTCGCCAATTGATCGTTCGCTGGAAGAAAAGGGGCGGGAAGACTCTGCGCTATTGATTCACCCTAGCCGTGGATCCCTGACACTTCCTATTCATGCGCGCCGCTTAAATCATTAATGCTGGGTTTAAGATCGCACGCTGTAATTACAAACCGCTCTAAAAGGCTGCCACTATTCCCCGCCTTTCCTGGAGTCCCTACGAGTGTTTACCGTCCTTTTTATTGATAATTCAGAGCAATAATGACCAAAGTTTGTTAATATTGCGACTGATTCCCCGACGTGTGCCCTGAATCCCCCTCGGGACGTAGATGAGCGCAGAGCAATCAGTGAAGAACGGAATGGGTGTCTATTAACGCTTTAAACAATCAGATACCGCTAACAGAATCAATGAGCGCTCACACCACCATTTTCCAAGCGTTTTGTCAACAACACTGGACTTCATGCTGCTAACGCTTTGTGTCTTATACCGACGTTGTTTGATGGCTGATTTTTGGCCTTTTTGTCTGATACAAATCTGTCCTGTCAAGGATCATTAGTGCTAGTTTCGCGGCATGATATTGCAGCAGAGGTTTAGGCATCGGCTTATTTTCAACATGTTAAAGTGTTTTCATCGGGCTTCCTTTTTTGCATTTTTTACGCCAGTCAAACTGGAGGCAAATGGTAACCACCTGGCCAATGGATACTGCCTGACCAGTTTGACACTGTCTTTACAGCCACCAAAACATTTGCATCTCTCCCTTTCTCCGTCAGAGTCAGGCCCTGTCTCTCCGTGGCTGACGGAATAATTGAACTTCCGGCTTGACCGGGGGTCACGGGCAGATGTCGGAGCCAATTGCACTTCCCCCCAATCTCGTCCGCCGATGAATTGCAGCCCGGGGACGGGGTTACAGATGGCCGGTGTCGCCGGAATGGCGATCCGCGAAACCGATAACGTCGATACGCCGATACCGGCGGTAACGGAACGCTACTGAGGGACCGCCTGGCGGCACTGGGACCGATAGACGGGCGACCCGCCGTTCTAATCTGTCACTAATAAACTGGAACAGTTTGATCCGGGTCTGAGCCTTAATGAAAATTAATGGCGCAGTTTTAGGACGAACTCGCTGATCTCTTAAGACGCTAATGTTACGTATTGATTCTCACCTGCGTGAATAATCGGTGTCGGACTGTTAGAGGTGTGTGTCACACCTGTAACAATGTACAGGTATGTGCAGGTGGCGGCCGGGGCAGTATCAGGTCTGTAAGCGGCCGGACAGATTGCCACAATGGGACCCGGTAACAAATTGTTGTAGCGATTGTTCTGACAGCGGATCAATGTAACAACCTACAGAACGACCTGCCGTTATTGTTGCCACAGAAAGTGGCCATATTCACGGTGTAAATCAGGCCGAGGTGTAGCGTTTGGTGATATCCTGGGCTCACAGGAGTTTCTATCATTGGGACGATAGCGTTTAAACGGTTTGCCACTGAGTAATGTGACAAATCTAAACCCGTGTCGTGCGCCATATTGATATCAATTAAGGGCTTTAGAATCAGATGGAGAGAGATTGGTTTGAACCGGTGGCGTATTATTTTAGAGTTCAATCACGAAGAGGTAGTCATTAGTTACATCATTAAGCAATTCCATGTATAAACCTTATCCTTGAGTGTAAAATATACCAATAGCCTTTATAAGAGAAACAACAACCACAAAACATCTCCATCTATCAAGTACTTCAACTGGCTGATAACACTAGACTTAGAGTGGTACCGTACGCGTCATCTTTCGAGATGGAAGGATACCTGCTACTGCTATACCACTACTTCTACTACTGCAGTGCTACTAGTCTAGTTAGTCTGTAGACTGTAGAACTGACCTTCTACAGACTCTCCAGTCAGAATCTCCGAGAAAGGTGTCTGGTAGACTTGCTTACATAAAAATAGAAATACGTCTTGTGTATAATTAAGTCCCAACATCTTACATAATGTTGAAGTTATAATCATGAGAACTGACCTTCCGCTATCCTGAGCCCGTACAGCCCGTCCAGGTTGATGTCTCGGTAGGACCGGCGGAAGAAGTCCACGGTCCACTCCAGCGCCTCCACCACATCCCACAGTGCCTGGTCCTGCCTGTCCGACCTGCCAGCCGCCGGGTCCCCTCTCCCAGCCGGGCGGGCCTCCCACTCCCCCCGCCCGTCGGGCGCGTCCCCGCGGTACGGTGTCCCCACGGACGGGCCCGACCACAAGGCTGCTGCAGTCAGCGCCAACAGGACCAGCCGAGTTTGCTTTGTACCTACTCCCATTGTTAACGACTGCCGGAGGAGCAGTATAACAGTGGGGTTCAAGCGCCACCCAAGTTTAACTGGTCCGGACCTTTTAGCCTTGCTGTTGGTGCGTTGGGTTTGTGAAATGGAGTCCCAGGTTCAAATCCTGGAAGCCAGGAGCTGTATACTTCTCGCCCCTTTAGTGTTTGAGCAGGACATGAACCTTCCCTCTTCCCGCGCGCCACGCGTCAGTCTGAATCCCGCAGCCCCCGAGAGACGGAGGCCTGACCTCTGACCCGTCCCTGATTGCGCAGTCGGAGGAATGGATCCCCGTGCCAGATAAACGTCACACTAACGGCTCAATTTGGCGGCTGACTCGCCTGAGGAGAACTGCCTTTGTTAGACCACGGAGGGGTGGAAAACAGCAGGGATGGATTTAAACAGCAACTTCAATGAAAAGCGGTCTGCAGGCCAATTTAGCTTCTCATGAATAAAGAATGGTTAAAAAGAATTAGCACATATTGATCTATGACAACTCATGTATTGGACAATATCTAAAAATGATGAAACGTTAGCAATTCGACCATTGACTTTAAAAGCTCATTCTCCCACTCTATCTACTTTCATACTATGCTTGTATAGTATATAGTAATACATACCATACTTTGTACCTTGTACAACTGTTAAGCTATACAATTTGTTATGCTTGTGGGGGAAGAGTTGGAGAAACAGATATCTGGATAAAAGGCAAAGGAAAGAAATGCGCGTCAGCCTTCGTGACGAACAGAAGACGAAACACATGGACAGTGTCCAACACTGTAGGAACGGTACATGGCAGGTGAATACATTGGAACTGACAGGAGATTCCAACGGGACGAATTAACAGAGGGATGTGGATATAGGGTTAGACGGGTTAATCTACCTACTGGGAAATATGACTGAGAAAACAACGTTAGTATGATAAATGGATAAAATAATGACGAAGGCATTTCGCATTGTTTTCATCATATCTATGGAAGGGGTGCAAGAAGGAGGGCATGTGCGCGCTCTATGTTTGATAAGCAACCCATTTGTCTAATCGCCGGCCTTGCCAATAAGTTACCTTGCCTAAAACACATATTGAACAGGAGGGTTCCCTTTACAAAGAATAAAGCCTATCATTCTCAACCGCGAGTGCTCATAAGAACCTTTTAAGAAAAAAAAACGGCCAGAAAAGGTATTTTCTATTCAACATTTTATATCTATCTGATTATAGAAAGAGGCCAATTTCTATCCGTTTTACCTTTTGTCCAGTACAACCGCATACAAAACGTGCCTAATGACATCGGCCGCTCACAATGCTTTATGAACTTGTAGATATGACTGTAATGCATATATTCCCAATAGCGGGAGGATATTGGCGTCGCTCATATGCTGTACACAGAGGCCCATAAGTTTCACCATATCGATTTTGCCGTATTCTCCCCGCGGCAGTTACCCTCCCAGCCGCCGGCAATTCACACCTGGCTTGATGAGACAATTCCTCCGTCTCTCCGCCCCAATACCTCCAACACCCGTAAAACCGCTTCCTAAAGCCGCCAGATAAAAAATAACAAATACGTCCGCACTGCATCCACTCTCCAGAACGTTTGTAGGTGTTATAGCTTCAGTTCCGACTCATAAGTGGAGTTTATGACCCAATTATGAACAGGTAGGCATATAATTGTCCCGGATTGCAATCTGGTGCCGGTGTCGCTATATTTACATTAACGGCCCAGCGTGGAAAAGGACGAACAGTTAAATGTTATGAAATAGTCTATAACAGCCGGGAACTGGTAATTGAAGACACGAAAATAGACGGTGCCGACAATTCATCGTGTTTACGAGACGAGTAATAAGACTCGCAATAACCTTTATCGTTGTTGTCCAGGTAGGATAGGAACGTGCGCGTTTAATGGAATTCTATTGTTAGGTACGGAGGGGACAGGAAAGTCGAGTAGCTGCTCTTTCGGTAAGTGCTGTCACAATGGACGGTATTTAAAGATACTTATGAACAATTCGATCTCTGCTACTGGCTACAACATGGAGGGTAATTGCGTTCGTTACGAGTGACATCCGTCACTTTTCCAAGTCCCTAGAATCTGCCAGTTCACTGGAATTCGCGAAAACACCGGACGTTACCTTCGTATTTTATCCATGAGTGGAGTTTTAATTGCATCTGAGCTTCATCAGCGTTATTGAGGATCGTACCATCACGTCTGAAGAAGTTGTTGAACAGATGGTCCGGGAATCTGCTGCCTGCAGCTCTGACAGTTCTGACGGAAACATATCCCGGAGCCTGACACTCCGCTGTCTGTCTGATGCCTAGTCTCTGGCGCAGGTTCAGCTGCAGCGTTTTGCCGGAAACAGTGTGTGGCGCTGATTGGGCCCCGTTTTCATAACAAGGCAACAGTTTGAAAACAGATGAGCATCCATTAACCATTGGTCATAGAGACATCATTCAGTGATCTTTGTAAAATCATGGAGGCAATCGAAAGATCAGTGAGAAATCCTTGTAAGACCTTGAAGACCATCAAAGATCAGTGAGAGATCTTTGTAAGACCCTGGTGATCATCAAAGGATAATTAAAATGTCATTCATTGAGATCATTAAAAGATAAAGTACCTTGAGAAATAATGAGCGTACACTGAAAGACCTTTCAGAGATCTATCAAAGTTTGGTCGCTATTAACAGTCAGCAAACGGCCTTGCCGAGTGGAATCCGTGCTTAACGTACCGTTTCGCAACAACAGTTGTCTGACATTTTCTACCGCATTGGCCGTAAAATGTAGCAGAAAATGACAGCAGCCAGAACATTAGATAATGTTCAGTACGTGATCTGCACAACATTATGTCGCCATGCATGGAACCTGCTGTTCAGGCTAGGTTTGCCGGTATTTGATACAAGACATGACGTCCCGGCGGCCGGGCGTCACGCGAGGAGCTCGTCAATTATACATGAGCGGAAATCAGTTCCGCTACACTAACGTGATTGTCTGGGAGGGCTGGAAATACCACCTGCATACCTGCACATAAGGTGCACCGGTCCATGTACTGGGTATATGCAGGTTAGTGCAGGTAAAATTGCAGCTGTGCATCACAGAGACCCAGAAACTGAGAGGACATACATATATGGACAGTGCTGGTAAAAAAAACTGCATTTCAGCTTTTTCAAGAACTGAAAGGCAATTTTGAATGTTGCCTGTACCAGTACTATAGTGCTGACGTCTTGGCGTCCAGGACGCCAGCTGATGAACTACCTGACCTACGGAACCTGCTGGTGACACGGAAGGTGACCTGAGCCCTGACACCATAGCTGCTGACCGGCGGCCGTGGACTAGATCTTGTAATGAACTACATGTTACTCTGCAGCCGACTGATGATGATGGTGACACAAGCGTAAGGAAAAGTATTTCGAGGCCTGGCTGTGAAGTCACGCGGTGCGCTGCAGGGGTACCTCTCCAACTGGGATGAAACTGCCTCATTGGAAACTTTGGGAACGACTACAGGAGTGCATTAATGATGATTAATGTTTACTTATAACGGATGATGCTATGATGGATGAAGCAACCGCTTCATTCTTGTGTTCCAACAAAAATCAATACGGCAACATTGCGGGGGGTGACAGTAAGCCGGCAGTTTGGGAATATTCACGAGTCAGTGATTTATTTCGTACAAGAACAACAAGAAACTTTGTTGTACGGCAATTGGAGGAGATATATAGAATGACAAACTTTCTGGAAATTAAAAGAAATATGCGAATTGCATGTCTGTGATGATTGAACGTCAAATAATCAAATGTCTTTGATGCTTTCATTTTTCTTCAAATTCTTGCCTTCACCGTTTTCTCTAAAACAGCAGGTTACTGACTAGCAATATTGCATCAGTGAATCTTGAAGGGAAAATGATGAGCACAGATCAGCACAAGCAGATTATCTGGAGCAACATCAGGCGAAACGTTTTAATAGACGTACGTTCTGATTTTTCCTTCTGCTTTAATATGATCTACCAGTTACGCAGCTGATTCATCAAAGTTACAACAGATTCGCAGCTTGTGTACCAACAGCCATGACCTCGACTAGGGCAAAAAAAATGTCATCACCACGAGATGGCCTCAGACGAACTTGGTCCATTACTTTCTCAAGATTACATCTGAGTCCTCTGCCCTGGAAACATGTAAAAATCAGAGTCACTCATTTGAGGTCCGCCCTGTCGATGTTCGGTGGGTCAGTCCAATTGACCTATGAGAATACGACAGGCGAGGAGT